ATTTTTTAAAATTGTATTATTTTAATCTTTAAGCCTTCGCATCCCTCGAGAAGCACGTGCATTTTTATTTTATTTTATTTTATTTTCAGGTTAATAATACACGCCCTATTCAAGCATAGCAAGTGAATTTTTTTTACCCCACAATAAAATAGATGGTAATTATTTATGCAGAATGTACAGAAACTGGAATTTTTTGTTGTCCGAGAACTATAAATCCCATATTTTTTTATACAATTTTATAGCTGTTTGGAAACGAAAGAGATATCGTTTACTCGCAAATTTAAGTAGTGTTCCTGTTAAGGTAACACAGGTTTTCAAGTCTCTGCTCTGACGTGCTGACGTTTCTCTAACCGTTGCTGACGTGGGAGGGTACCTGCAAAAGGCACTCCGATGCTGAAGTCAAGATTCGGTTCTGAGCAATAAATACTATTTAATAATGAAAAGTCAACCCTTTACCTGTACTTTTACCTTCCTTATATAGGCACTGTAATGGGCCAGTGGGCTTGTCAAGCCAATCTTCATTTTAGCCCTTTATTTAAAGTAAATAATATCTTGATTATTACCTCTAATTGGAGTAATTAACTTATAATCCTGACAATGGGTATCCAGCCACCTAGGCCAAACAGGTACTCGGTTTCCTTTCACTACAAGTAGGACCGAGTTGGTCTTTATCTAGTACACTAGCTCCCAAGCCCGAAGAGGTACGAAGCGAGGGCTTTAACTAGTGTTAGGTCGTGGATTTGAACAAGGTCGAGGAGGGAGTACTCGGTTAGAGTAAACTTGAACAAGACCTAGGGGGACTACTCGGTTAGAGTAAACTTGAACAAGACTGAGGAGGGAGTACTTGGTTAGAGGGGAGGTCTCGGTATTGAGTGGAGGAGTGATGGTAGTATTTAAACTTGATTGATGTGTATTGGGTTTACACTAAGAGGTATTCGGTTTAGTAACAAAACGATATAGACCGAAATAGGAGATAGGAAATCATAAAAAAATAAATAATTTGCAAAGGAATATTCTAGAATGTTGGTTTTTAGGGTTTCCTCAGCGAGTGTATGAAACGAAAGGGTGTCCAACCTCATCTATTGATCTGAAAGGGATCTGACGGTTCATAAGGGGGTGACCTTTCGTTTGCCCGAAACCAAATCTCCTATAAATATGTGGTGGTCCCTGCACCCACTTTCTGTTCTTTTGCTCTGTACCGAAACGTGCATACTGTTGCTCCAAACCGAAGGGTATTCAGAGATCTTCTCTTTTTCTTGCATACCGACTACTTGTAAGGTGCGTTTTAATTTCTCACTTTTCTTTCTTTCTTCATGGCCGACCCTATTGAGTGGGAGGATTCTCTGTCTGATGTCTCGGGACCGAGTACTGTCGAAGTGGACATAATGAACGAAACAGAGGAGAGTGGCGAGGTTTTATCCACACCGAACCAGAGGGCTGAAGAAGCACAAGTTAGGGAATGCGGCAACAAGGCCGAATCGTCTACTTCTAGTGATACTGACACCTCTGAGCCCCCCCAAGGGAAAGGCAGATGTTTCCTCCTTGTACAATACCTGGATACGAGTGAGTGCACGGTGAAATGGTCGCATACTTTTCTCGTTTCACAAGAAATAAAAGTCTCTAGTAGATAATTGTGATATTTGTTTGTGGGAAGCCTCTGACCCGTATCCGATACACCTCAACCCCTGTAAAGGGGACAAGACCGAGAACCCAAAGTTTGTTTTCCTAGGAGGTGTCGGAATGGCCGACACCTTCTATATGTACGAATACATGTTTAGAGAGTTAGGTATCAGGCTACCCTTTGATGACTTCCAAATGGGAGTTTTGAGGGTTTTGAATGTAGCGCCGACACAACTGCACCCGAATGGGTGAGTGGCAATACATGCCTTTAGGATACTTTGTAAATTCCATTATATAGAACCTAGTGTAGGCCTATTTCTTCATCTCTTTTGTACACGCCCATCTGACTTAGCAAGGTGGGTGTCTCTAATAAGGCAACCCGAGTTGCCTTTGTTTAAACCATATGCTTCGTCTTTTAAGGGTTTCAAGACCGGTTACTTCAAGGTGACCGTGGACCCTGTAGGTAGAAATTATTTTTTTGATAGCGAGAATAATCTTCTCTTCCCTTTTCACTGGACTCGGGCGCCTCGTCGATACGACATATGCCCCGAGGACATGTTATCGGCTAGGGAGTTGTCAGATTTATAATTTCTGAAGTCCCTTCCCCGAGAACTACCTGCCCGACACGTAATCCTCGTGCTCAAGTCCCCGCGTCCTCGTTGGGATATAGAGGGTATGTATCGTCTCGTTTTTAACTTATATTTGGAATCAAGTTGTATTGATTTGACTTGTTATTTTTAATGCAGGCTTAATGGCTCAGAGCGGTGTTGATGTACCGACCTTCCGTCGTACTCCGAAGTAGAAAATACTAGAAAGGACACCAGTTGAAGAACATCGTCATCCTCAAATTGATCAACTTCTTGAAGTACCAGAGCCTCGCCCTCCTCCCCGAGACCTTGTTCTTGCTGAAGGCCAATCCAAGAAATGCAAGGACAAGGGCAAAGGCAAAGAGCCCGAGAGGGAGAGAAAGAGAAAACATGCCCATTCAGGTGGGCTGAGCAGTGTAGAGGGGGCGCGTAAGCAAACCTGAGTCACGGCTACCGAGGGGGGAAGCAGTTCCTCCAACCCTGTAATTCCTCTGGAAATGCTTGCCGAGGGCTTCCTGGCAACCGGAACTCATACCGGCCGGCTGGCTGCTCCCAACTTGTTGTCTGATTCGGAGAAAGAACTGGTCGACAACATAGAATATGAATCGCTCTGGCGCTGCTATGCAGAACTTCATGTACGATCAATAGCGATGCTCTGAAAGCTAGTTGTGGATCCAATTCTTGAAGTTAAGAAGTTAAAAACTGCCTATTCGGCTTCTGAAGAAGCTTTGGAAGAGAGCAGGGAAATTCAAGTCAGTCTTAACGAGACCATTCAATCCCTACAGGGTCAGGTTAATCAATATAAAGAGCACTTTCGAATAGTGAAAGACCGAGTTCAAGCGGCTGAGGAGACTTTGAGGGTCAAGGAGGAGGAAATGGAGGCGTTAAGGGTGAAGTCTTGTCAGATGGAGGAGGCCCTACGGGCCAAATCTACCGAGATGGAGGAAGCCTTGGCATTTGAAAAGCAAAGGGCTGAAATCGAGATGAAAGCCTTTGCCGAGAAGTGTTTTCAGTAGGTCGCTTATGAACATGAGTCCGGTTTTAACCATGCTATTCGCTAATGCCATGGATTCTGCCAGGTTTTGGCCGATTTCCATTTTGACATCACGAATGACTTCTTTGGCGGCAGGTTTATTCCTTACAACGAGGTTGATGATGATGTGGAGCCTGACGCCGAGACGAATCGCCGATAGTGAAAATGCTGCTAATCCTGAGGTAGCCGGTTCTGATGCCGAGGAAGGGGAAGAAAATTAGATTTTTTTTTCTTTGTATTCATGAGCCATTAGTGCTCAAATTTTGTAGCCATTAATTTTGAAATAGAATCTCTTTTTTCTCCTTCTCTTGTACTTTGTATTGAAAACTTGGTCATGAGCGATTTAACCTTGACCGAGTAGGGGTGCGCGGGAGGAAATTTAACTAATTCATCTTTAGCGAAGTAAAAAAATATTTGAGTAAATTTTAATAGTGATTCAACCTTAACCGAATAGGGGTACTCGGGAGGTGATTTAAATAGCGATTCAACCTTAACCGAGTAGGGGTGCTCAGGAGGGAATTAATTAATTTGACCTTGGCCAAGTAGAAATACTTGGAAGGAAATTTTAATAATGATTCAACCTTGGCCGAGTAGGGGTACTTGGGAGGAATTAAATTAATGCGACCTTAGCCAAGTAGAAATACTTGGGAGAAAATTTTTATAATGATTCAACCTTAGCCAAGTGGGGGTACTCGGGAGAGATTAAATTAATTCGACCTTAGCCAAGTAAAAATACCTGGGAGGAAATTTTAATAATGATTCAACCTTGGCCGAGTGGGGGTACTCGGGAGAGATTAAATTAATTCGACCTTAGTCAAGTAGAAATACTTGGGAGGAAATTTTAATAATGATTCAACCTTGGCCGAGTAGAGGTACTCGAGAGGGATTAAATTAATTCGACCTTAGCCAAGTAAAAATACCTGGGAGGGAATTTTAATAATGATTCAACCTTAGCCGAGTAGGGATACTCGGGAGGGATTAAATTAATTCGACCTTAGCCAAGTAAAAATACCTGGGAGGGAATTTTAATAATGATTCAACCTTAACCGAGTAAGGGTACTCATGAGGGATTAAATTAATTCGATCTTAGCCAAGTAAAAATACTTGGGAGGGAATTTTAATAATGATTCAACCTTAGCCGAGTAAGGGTACTCGGGAGGGATTAAATTAATTCGACCTTAGCCAAGTAAAAATACTTCGGAGAGAATTTTAATAATGATTCAACCTTAACCGAGTAGGGGTACTCGGGAGGGATTGATTAATTCAACTAGGTGCTTGAAAGAAATACTGATGCATTAAAAATTGGATAGTGAAGAAGAAGTATTTTATTGATTAGGTGCATCGTTAAAAACCTTCCCAGGAAAATCCCTTTTCACTTTATTTTAAGAGGACAAAACCTGGGGGAGGAAAAGAGTGCACCGATCTGTAAATTGAAACCCATTATCTGTAATTAATGCATGAGGGAGGCCGAAACGTGTAATGATGTTTTTCCAAGTGAATTTTTGTACATTGTTGGCCGTGATAGTGGCAAGGGGTTCGGCTTCAATCCATTTGGTGAAGTAGTCCACAACGACAAGGAGAAATTTACATTGTCCTTTTGCTAAAGGAAAAGGACCGAGGAGGTCCATTCCCCAAATGGCAAAAGGCCAAGGAGAGCTAATAGGGCGAAGGGTATCGGCATGTTGGTGGAGGTGAGAACCGTGTTGTTGACAGGGAATGCATTTCTTCACAAACAAGTGGCAATCTTGAGTGAGTGTCGGTCAATAGTGTCCGGCTATGAGTATTTTCGCTGCCATAGTTCGTCCGCCCGAATGGGTACCACAAATACCTTCATGGATTTTCTTTATGACGTAGCTAGCTTGGTCGTCGTCTAGGCATTTAAGCATAAGTGTTGGAATTTCTCTTCTGTACAAGTCTTTGCTGAGAAGAAGGTACTTAGCTGCATGCATTTTTATTTTCTTAGCTGAAGCTGGATCCTCTGGTAAGCTGTCATTGATGAGGTACCGGATGATTGGGGTCATCCAATTATGAGATGAATTTTCTATATCCATGCATTCTTGTTTGGTGATGCTGGGTTGGAGGATTTCTTGATGAACCATGCTTTGCAATTGCCCCGGTTTTCTTTGGCTAGCCAGCCTAGCAAGCCTGTCGGCTCGCTCGTTCATGTTTCTTGGCGTGTGCCGAACACATACCTCATCAAATTCATCTTTTATTTTCTTGAATTCTTGGTAATATTTAAGCATAACTGAGTCCCTAACCTGATATGTATCATTAACCTGTTCGGCCACAATTTTTGAATCACTCCAACCAGTAATGCGTTTAACTCCCATCTCCTTTGCTAATCTGAGACCAGCAAGTAAAGCCTCATATTCGGCTTGATTGTTGGATGCTTTGAATCCAAACCGAATGGATTGTTCAATAGCAAATGCGTTCAGCCCTTCAAGTATGACCCCAGCTCCACTACCTAGTCGGTTTGATGATCCGTCAACGTGCAGATTCCACATGTCTGAAGTAGTTTGTCGTTGTACAGTGAATTCATTGACGAAGTCGGCTAACACCTGAGCTTTAAGGGGGCGTCAGTTCTCAAAATGAATGTCGAATTGAGATAGTTCAATTGTCCATGCTACCAGTCGACCAGCCAACTCTGGTTTCCTCAAAATTTTGGCCATTGGACAATCTGTACGTACGAGTACCTGATGACTTTGAAAATAGTGTCTTAACCAACGAGCTGTATGAAGTAAAGCTAGTACTACCTTCTCCATCAACTGGTAGCGGGATTCAGGGCCTTGAAGTGTTCGACTAACGAAATACACAAGGGTTAATTCAGGTGTTTCTTGCAGTAGAACCGAGCTGATGGCGTTATCAGATACGGCCAAATAGACAATCATCTCTTGTTCAAGATTCAGTTTTGTTAGCACAGGCGGCGTTGATAGCATATGCTTGAATTGAACGAAGGCGGCCTCACACTCGTTGGACTAAGCAAATTTTTTAGATTTTTTGAGCAGTTCGATGAAAGGCCGAGACCTTTCTGCCATTATTGGTAGAAATCGAGCGAGGGCTGCAATTCGACCGGCCAGTCTCTGAACTTCCATAACATTCCGAGGGCTAACCATTTCGATGATGGCTTGGCATTTGTCAGGGTTAGCCTGGATTCCCCTTTCAGATAACATAAATCCAAGAAACTTGCCCCCGGCTACCCCAAATGTGCACTTCTCGGGGTTAAACCTCATACCATGCTTCCTAGCATCCTCGAATACCTCTTCCAAATGAGTAAGATGTTGCTTCAATACAGTGGACTTAACCACCATGTCATCCACATACACCTCCAAGCATTTACCCACTTGCTTCTCAAAAATTTTATTCATGAGTCGTTGGTATGTCACCCCTGCATTCTTCAAATCGAATGGCATCACTTGGTAACAAAAATTTGCTGAATTTGTGATGAATGCCGTTTTCTCCTTATCTGGGGGATACATTCGTATTTGATTATATCCAGAATAAGCATCCAAAAAGCTCAGTATCCTGTTACTAGCTGCACCATCGACCAGGGTATCAATGTTTGGTAGGGGGTACGCGTCCTTTAGGCATGCTTTGTTGAGGTCCATGAAGTCCGTGCACATTCGCCATTTACCATTGGCTTTTTTAACCATGACGACGTTGGCTAACCACGTTGAATACCTTACTTCTCGGATAAAGCCAGCCTGTAGTAGCTTATCGGTTTCTTCTTCTACTGCCTTTGCTCTATCGCCACCAATTTTCCTCTTCTTCTGAGTTATCGGTTTGGCCCTTTATAAACCGATAAGTGGTGACAAAGAAATGTCGGATCGATGCTAGGCATGTCCAAGGCTGACCAAGCAAACAAATCGGTGTTATTCAGCAACATTTCTTGAAAAATTTGCTTTTCTTGTGCATTTAGACCGACCCCCAAATAAGTAACTTGTTCTGGCTTTGATCCAAGTTGGAAAGATTACTTGTTTTCATTAGGCTCAACCCAATATCCCTCATCCATTCTAGGATCAAGTTCAACATTTAATTCCTCTCCCAACCGAGGGGATACAATATTGACATCTCGGCTATTCCCATGAAAGGGTCTAAGACGTAAGCTTGCAAAGTAGCATTCCCTGACTGTTTTCTGGTCAGCATAGACTGTAACGATTCGGCCTCTTTTCAGATGGAAACTTCATGGCCAAGTGCGAAGTAGACACTATGGCCTTCAATTTATTCAGGGATGGTCTGCCGAGTAGTATATTATAGGAGGTGTTCGCATGTACCACAAGATAACTGACTTTTATACGTTTTTCCTCATGCTTTGATCCAAACAAGGTATACAAGTCAATACAACCCCTAGTCTCCACTCGTTCCCTAGAAAAACCAACCAACGGTTCGTGATATTCTCTGAGCTCTTCTTCAGGGATGCCTAATTACTTAAATGTATTCCAATACAGGATGTCAGCCGAGCTCCCTTGGTCAATTAGTGTTTTGCAAACAGTGCAATTAAGAATGTCTACACTAATGACCATGTGATCATCCTGCACTGGATCGACTCCTTGAAAGTCATCGTTAGTGAACATAATAGGTGAGATCCGAATTCTGCTGCCCAATGAAACATTATTAATAGAACGGACATGCCTGAGATGCCTCTTTCTGGCAGAATGGGTAGGTCTTCCACCGGCAAACCCTCCAGCTATGGTGTTAATGACCCTTTTGGGATACTTCTCTCGTTCATCATATCTTCTAGTTGGGGGTTCCCTGGACCTACTCCTATGTCGTTCAAATATTTTGTCATCAGATCTCCTCGGTGGTTCAGGGTAACGGTCTCTTCCTTTGTTAGGTTGCCCTATAGGATTTGTCTGTACAAAATCTTTTAAATGTCCTTCCTTGATTAATTCTTCAATTTTATCTTTCAGCGCTGTGCACTCCTTGGTGGTGTAACCCCTGTTCTGATGATATCGGCAAAACTTGCTTTTATCTGCCTGAGGAGGGGTATTGGCGCGTCTAGGTATTCTCAATATTTCTGTGGCCAATGCCTGATCAAGTACTCTGGACCGATTAGTGTTGAACGTAGTGTAGGAAGGATACTTAGGTCCCTGGGGCAGCCTTTCAAGTTCATTTCTTCTTTCATTTCCCTGCCTAGCCTTGAAAGCTTCTTTTCTGTCTGTATTTTTTGAATTGGACCCTTGGTCCATCCGTACCTGGTTTCGGTATTCGGACAATTCTTTCATCTGCATATACTTTGCGGCCCGACTTCTTAACTTGTCTAGGTCGACATGTGGTTTTTTACATATGCTATTAACAAAAGGTCCTGGCTTTAAGGCCGTTGTGAGGTGGTGCATGGCCACTGCTGGCTCTAAATTATGGATCAAAAGGGTCACTTTGCCAAAGTGTTCAATGAACGCTCTAAGTGACTCTCCCTTTTCTTGACGAATGTTGACCAGCACCAAGGATGTTAAGGGATGAGGTCGGCTTGTGGCGAACTGCAAGTTGAACCGTCTTGCAAGTGTTGCAAAAGAGTCGATGGATGAAGGGGGGAGTCGGATGAACCAACTAAGTGCAGGCCCTTGGAGTGAGGTGGGAAAAATCCTACACCATAAAGAATCATTCTCGATGTACAGACCGACTTGGGTTGTAAAGACATCCAAATGTTCCCCAGGGTCCGATGTGCCATCATATTTATCTATTGTTAAGCCTCTCCAATTATCAAGCAGCTTAGCCTCCAGTATATGGTGAACAAATGGGCTTCAGCTTACGAGATCGTCTCGGTCATTTTTAGCTTCAGATTGATAAACCTGCTTTGATTTCTCTTGCAGCGCCGAGGATTCCCCCTGATCCTGGATGATAGGTGTATTTTGGAAGGGATGTGTGTTCTGATCTCTCCTCTCAAGCTAGCATTTTCTCTTCTCAGAGCCGAGAGCTCTAATGCATCCTTCTCTCTCTCCCTTTTCATCTCTGCCATTTCTGCTTTGAGTTGTCTTAGTACAGCTAAAAGGCTCTCATCGATCCCTCCTTGCATCAATACTTCAGGTGTCGGTTCATCTGGTGTAACATTCTCCAACTGTTGCCGAGAGGTTCCTCCCTGTTGAACATGTCCTTCCTGCTGGCTTCTCGTTAGTACCATTTTTAATTCTGAAAAATGAGTCTAATCGTGCCCCACAGTGGGCGCCAAAATGTTCCTGTTAAGATAACATAGGTCTTCAAGTCTCTATTCTGACGTACTGACGTTTCTCTAACTGTTGCTAATGTGGGAGGGTACCTGCAAAAGACACTCCGATGTTGAAGTCAGGATTCGGTTCTGAGCAATAAATACTATTTAATATTGAAAAGTCAACCCTTTACCTTCCTTATATAGGCACTGTAATGGGCCAGTGGGCTTGTCAAGCCAGTCTTCATTTTAGGTTTATTTAAAGTAAATAATATCTTGATTATTACCCCTAATTGGAGTAATTAACTTATAATCCTGACAGTGGGTATCCGGCCACCTAGGTTAAATAGGTATTCAGTTTCCTTTCACTACAAGTAGAACCGAGTTGGTCTTTATCTAGTACAAGTAGATTTCTAAGACGTTAGAAATTTATTATTATCATTATTATTTATTTATTTTTACTCATTTTCTATTTCATCCAAGTATAAAATAGATTTTTTTTTACTACATCAATTTAAAAGAATTTACCCATATCAATTGAATTATCAGTCATCTTTCTTTCAGTTTATATTGTAGAAACGATTATTAAAAGAATTATTTTACTAAACTATAAATGCTAAGTGATTAATTTATATACATAAATTGACTTAAGCCCGCACTAATTTAATTAACTGAGTTCTAATACACCAAAACAGTATCAGCGCTATTGTGGAGTTTTAATTTAATTATCTGGTTACCATCGTTGTTTTAAACTATCATAATGAAACATTAACATTGTCATAACAAAGTGCGTTTTCAATATAATAAAAACCCAAAAAAATAAAAAAAAATAATTTTGAATTAATTGAATTAAAATTAAAAAGGTTAGAAGTAGTTTACTCTTGCGAGTGAGGAAGGCAAGCTCGATACGACCCGATCTGACCCGACCCGTTTAAACCAGTGGGGACCCATGGTAATATTCACCATAACTGACACCGTGTAAATTACTCCCTCCTTCTCCGACACCCGGCAGCTCCTAAGCACGGCGTGTGTAGTGTTGGTCAGTGTTCACTCTTCACTCTCTCTCTCACGAGGATTTGTATTTTTTCGCAAAAGCAGAAGCAGAAGAAGAAGAATCAAAGGTGGAGCAGTTGAAGACGATCGGTAGGGAGCTATCCATGGGCTCCCAGGGCCAATCCAAGGAGTTTCTCGATTTCATCAAGTCCATCGGCGAGGCCCGATCCAAAGCCGAAGAGGACCGCATCGTCATCCGCGAGATCGAAACCCTAAAACGCCGCATCAACGACGCCGACATCCCCAAACGCAAGATGAAGGAGTACATCATTCGCCTCCTCTACGTCGAGATGCTCGGTCACGACGCTTCCTTCGGTTACATTCACGCCGTCAAGATGACTCACCACGACAATCTCCTCCTCAAACGCACCGGTTACCTCGCCGTTACGCTCTTCCTCAGCGACGACCACGACCTCATTATCCTCATCGTTAACACCATCCAGAAAGACCTCGCTTCCGACAACTACCTCGTCGTCTGCGCCGCGCTTAACGCCGTTTGCAGACTCATCAACGAGGAAACCATCCCCGCCGTGCTTCCACGTGTCGTCGACCTTCTCAACCACCCCAAGGACACCGTTAGGAAAAAGGCCGTTATGGCGCTTCACCGTTTTCACCAGAAATCTCCATCTTCCGTTTCTCACTTGCTATCGAATTTCCGCAAGAGACTCTGTGATAACGACCCTGGGGTAATGAACGCTTCTCTTTGCCCTCTTTTTCATCTCATTTCCGACGAGGCTGATTCTCACAAGGACCTCGTCGCTGGCTTCGTTAGCGTTCTTAAGCAAATTGCAGAACACAGGTTGCCTAAGACCTATGATTATCATCAAATGCCTGCGCCGTTCATTCAGGTTCCATTTAATCTCGCTTTTTGTTTTTCGCTTCTGTTAATCGTTCATTTGCTTAGATTTTAGTACTTGTTGTGTTCGAGCTTGCAGATTAAGTTACTGAAAATGCTTGCATTGTTGGGAAGTGGTGACAAGCAAGCCAGTGGGAACATGTACACTGTGCTCGGTGATATAATTAGGAAGAGTGATTCGGTGACTAATATAGGGAATGCTGTTCTCTATGAGTGCATATGCTGTGTTGCTTCCATATATCCCAATCCTAAGCTATTAGAGGCTGCTGCCGATGTTATTGCGAAATTTTTGAAGGTTTGGTGTTTTTTTTTTTTTTTTTGGTGGTGTGTTTCGAGTTTATGCAATGTGATGCGTGTTCGTGGATTCAGCTGTTGTGTGTTTTGTTATTGTGTTGGCAGAGTGATAGTCACAATCTCAAGTACATGGGAATTGATGCTCTTGGTCGGTTGATAAAGTTAAGTCCGCATGTTGCAGAACAACACCAACTGGCTGTCATTGACTGCTTAGAGGTGAGGGATATTCCTTGTAAATGCTTATGATTTAAGATGAGAACCTTTTATGAGTGTTTGATAAATAGGTTTGGTGTTGAATCTGTTGATCATTCAATGCTTGTTTCACTTCATATTTTCATATTTAGTCTGCAAGTGCAAATCAAATGATGATCAATGCTGCTGAATTTATCTTATTTTCATGTTGGTGTTCAGTACCGTTGTAGAAATTTCTAGTGAAGAGTTGCCAACAAATTAAAGTAACAGGATAGAATTGGGTCTGTCAGTCCATAAGAAAAGTAAATTAACCCATAAGGCTATTATGACTCTTACACAAGTTGTTATATGTACAGTAACATGGAGTATAAAGTATGGTCTCACAATTTAATTTCAATCAAAGTTTCCTCTTTCAGAAAGTCTAAATTTTTGTTTTGTCAATGTACAGCTGTTGGTATTTTTATAAGTTCAATTGCTGGTTGATGTAGTGTAATGGTATATCACTTACAAATCCGTTGAATAGCTCCACCCATTGTTTACTCACTAGTCATTAGCCGTGATTTTGTGTAAGGCAGACGTCAAAATTTTTTGGCTCACCAATGTACGTACCCAGCCAGAATTTGATGTGTCAGTTTATATAAACTTGCAGTTAGAACTGATATTTTGATAATCAGTAATTTATTACAATTGGTATTTGGAATGGGACATATTGGTGAGTTATTCATTTCTGTAAGATTAAGATTTTGTTGGAAAGACACAATATTTAATATTCTTTCTCCATACAATTGTGCATAAGCACCCTGATCATGTTTATCACACAAAATCACAGTGCTCCCTTTTGTTCACATAGTTATATTTCTCTCTTTCATAGTTTCTTATGGTCATACTTGGATTTGGAATTTTGATAAAAATATGATGAATGTGATGCAGGACCCTGATGATACTCTGAAGCGAAAAACTTTTGAACTGCTATACAAAATGACCAAGTCCTCCAATGTAGAAGTGATTGTTGACCGTATGATTGATTACATGATTAGCATTAGTGATGATCATTATAAGACTTATATAGCATCTCGATGTGTGGAACTTGCCGAGCAATTTGCACCAAGTAATCATTGGTTTATACAGGTAATTGAAATAGTTGCCGCAACATTATTGATTTTACATTTTTTATTTTTGCATACATTCATGATAACTACTAATATCTGGTATTTTGATTATGCAGACCATGAATAAAGTTTTTGAGCATGCTGGAGATCTTGTGAATATCAAGGTTGCACATAATTTGATGCGGTTGATTGCTGAAGGATTTGGAGAGGACGATGATGCTGCAGATAGTCAGTTGAGATCATCTGCTGTATGTTATTTTGATAATTACACTAGTTTATTTGATATGTCCACCATGAATTGAACGTGTGCATAAATTTGGTGCTGAATGGAAGCTGCTTCATGTAGGTTGAATCATATTTGCGCATTATTGGAGAGCCAAAGCTTCCATCTGTGTTTCTTCAGGTACTTCCTATCCCACCTTTGTTTTGGATTTTCCCTCTTGTTTTTCTTTGTGAAAAATATAATCTGTTTGTAGCATAATTTTAAGTTCTGATTGCAGTTCATCTGTTGGATTCTGGGGGAATATGGCACAGCTGATGGAAAGTATTCTGCTTCCTATATTAGTGGGAAGTTATGTGACATTGCAGAGGCATATTCTAATGATGAAAATGTTAAGGTATTTGTTGAAAGCCAACCCTTAGCTATGGGGAAGGGTTAAAAAGTTGAAACACATTTTATTTCGGGATACTTTGATTATCAATGGATATCTTCTTTCTATTTTGTGGTATTTCATGATTGCTTTTAATACTGACATCATTAACATGTTATCAATATGAAATTACGCATAATAAATCTATTTCTGTTTAAGGCTTGATATAACTTTATTTTCTATTTAAAAAAATAATAATTGAGAAATTTGCCTAATTATGTTGAGGTTGTTAGTCCTTTTCTCTTTTGTTTGCCCTACTTCAACCCTAGATCTTCTCTCTCTCTCTTCCAACTAATTTACATTATCAATAATCAAGTACACTTTTACTGTACTTCTTTGATACTTTACATACTTGCCTGTCCAAACCTACATATGCTTTGTGTTAATAAATAGTGCGATGTTTGGCTTAATTATTTAACATTTCAAAATACACAGATATACAAGTATTATGTTCCATTACATTACATTCTTGATTGAATGCGTTAGGTGAGGATGTGATAAATTTTGCCATGGGCATGCTCACTTACATGAGAATTATTTTAATTTCATGGATTATATATGCTAGGTGTTTTATTGTTATGTTTCTGGCAGTAGTGTATATGTTGATGATGATATGTTTTCTGCATAAACTTTGTTATATCGTTCAACTATTTTTGTTAATCTTGTTAGTTCTATTGCATCCATCGTATGTCTGGACCTAATTTCAATCTGTTTGCTTGCACAATTTTGAATTGAGTCTAATTTATTGCTCTTGTGAAGGCTTATGGAATTTCAGCATTGATGAAAATTTATGCATTCGAAGTAGCAACTGGGAGGAAAGTGGATAATATCCTGCCTGAGGTATATGCTGAAAGACTTTAGGTCAAAAATATGTATCTTTTCTACTTCACAGGCTTTTTATAATGGCAATATATGATTTAATTTTGAGGGATATACTACTATCCCTTATAAGTATGTTATAATTCCCCATCTTTGTCCTCGTACAAAAGAATCTCACCCCAATGATGAAAATCTTCTAGAAGTCTTTTTTAGGTGTTTTCAAATTGTGCTAATGGTGTTGTTCATTGCATGAATGATTTTCCTGTTTACATATCTAATTTGATTCAGAAGTTTATTTCTTTGGTTGATAATCTAATATAGTAAAGTTGACACTGAGGAACATGAATATTAGAGATTAAGATTTACTTTTCTATTAATTCTCTGTAAACATTTTTTTCTTGAGTTATATTTATATATGTTTATGAATTCCCCGGATGTTTTTCTATAATAAATATAGCCAGTGACATTGAGATGCTCGGGCTTAACTCTCTCTTATTAAAAATGCTGGAATATCCCAGGGTATCTTGAAATATTTTAGAATATCTTCTGAATTATTTGAATATGTTTAAAGTGTATTGTGGAATCAAGTAACTGTCTAATTAGGGAAGCAATCTTAGAGTTATTTCTTAATTTATTATATTTTGTCGTTTGTTTCCTTAATTATTCTGGGTTAGTAGTAGTAATGATACACTAGTACTTGACCAAATTATTATTATAAATAGGACCACTGAGTCAGCATTTTGTATCATCTTATTACACCCGATTTCAATCTAATATTTTTCATTGTTGTAATTGATAGTTTAGTTTCAAATATAATTTTTAATATGGGTAGGCTGTTTATAAAGAATAAAATTCTGTTATAGTTTGCTACAAGTTTATGCTGAAATTTGACTGATACCCTTAATGGCAAGAGGAGTAACTCTTTCTTGTCTACTTGCAGTGTCAATCTTTGATTGAAGAATTATTGGCATCCCACTCTACAGATTTGCAGCAACGTGCATATGAATTGCAAGCCCTTATAGGTTTGGATGCACGAGCAGTTGAAATAATAATACCACGAGATGCGAGTTGTGAAGACATTGAGGTTATTGCTAATATAGAATCTACTTAGATCCGTTTAAGATAATAACATTTTATCTGTGTTCATTTTTAAGATAATAATATTTTTGGTGTTTAGTGCATGAAAGAAAAGCCTTTTATATTAACCAAATTTCAGCATCCATCAGTGTAGTGCTCGATAAGATTTTCTTGCATTTTTCTACAAATCATGTTTTTCAATAGCTGCAACAACTCCCACAATTTATGACTATTCTATAATTGAAAGGCGTTGCAGCTTCCTATAAGATTTGAAAACACCTAGATTGTTCTTAACTCGATAATTGAACCACACTGCCCATCTAGGAACATCCTAAGAAAAGCCAATCAAGTTTCTAATACAAATTTTAGTTTAAACTAAGGTAGGCTCCTAGTCCTACAACCCAACACTTAAGTTTCTGGAAGAGTGTCTGAATTGCTCTCATTTTCTTAATGTCTTGGTCATTTCCAATGTGTTCTCATTTATCTGTCTTAATTAATCAATGTCTGTAGGACAGATCCTAATTTACACAGATAACATCATTAATGCCTGATCTGAAGTTTAATTTTAGAAATCAGCCTTGCAATCACATATTTTTTCTTCCATGTAATTATTTAGGTAATTTGTATACTTTTTTTTAATCTCATTCTCATAATATGACAGAATTTCCTTTTTCTTTCAGGGAGAAGTATGGTATTGATGGTTAGATCTCTTTATGTTTGCATAATTACTGATAGGAAATCAAAATGCTTACTAAATTAAAACAACCCATACTTGATTATCCAAAATATTTTATTTTGGGCAGATGGAATGCATGTTGTTGGGAGTGAAATACATTGTTGTGCAAATTTCTAATAGCTGTTTCATTTGCTTAGTGTTGTTTGTCTCGTCAACAAACACAAACTGCAATTTTTATTTCCTTCTAACGAAAACTCATCTTTTAGCATCGGTTCTCCCAGATCTTTATTAATTTATTATTTGTTGGTCATTACAACACTACCTATGGTCCAATAGTTGGTCCCAAGCCTGGGTGAAGGAGAAGGGTTGTGTTAGGACCTTGGTCTCTCCATTGTTGTGTCTAAAACTCAACCATTTTTTTTTTGTGTACGCACTGTATAGCAATCTGATTTTCTATTTTTCACATTCATTTCCCTAAATGGAAGCACTGTTTGTGCTTGGGAATAATGCATCTCGATTAGGTTGTGTCTAAAACACAACCATTTTTTTTTTTTTTTTTGTGTACGCACTGCATAGTAATCTGGTTTTCTATTTGTCACATTCATTTCCCTAAATGGAAGCACTGTTTGTGCTTGGGAATAATGCATATTGTTCTTCTTTTTCTGCTGCAAGACTATTGACATTTGACTGTATTATGCAGATCGATAAGAATCTTTCTTTCCTCAATGGTTATGTCCAGCAGTCTCTAGAAAGGGGTGCTCAACCCTACATTCTTGAGGATCAGCGCACTGGATTGGGAAATATGAGCAACTTCAGAAGTCAAGATCAACGCGAATCTCTGCAGCATGGTCTGAAATTTGAGGCATATGAACTTCCAAAGCCTCCAATGCAATCGAAAGTTGCTCCAGTTTCATCTGCATCCCGAGTAGACATTGTTCCAGTACCTGAGGCATTGTCTTCTAGGGAGAACCAGCATATCTCATCAGTGGGATCAGTATCAGAGGCTGGATCTTTGGAGCTTAAGCTACGGCTTGACGGTGTTCAGAAGAAGTGGGGTAGACCAACTTATTATTCATCTCCAAGCACATCTGCCTCTACCTCGTATTCTACTTCCCAAAAACCAACAAATGGGGCAACTCAGGTGGATGGTGCTTCAGCTGTCAATTCAAAAGTACGTGATAGTTATGATTCAAGAAAGACACAGGTTGAGATTTCTCCAGAAAAGCAGAAGCTTGCTGCTTCATTGTTTGGTGGTTCAACTAAACCTGAGAAAAGATCATCCACTAGTCATAAGGTTCCAAAAGCTAGTGCAAGTGCTGCAGAAGGATCTCAGGGATCAAAGGCTGCAGTTGTTCACAGCGAAGTAGCTGTGGAGAAAACAATCCATCAACCAACACCTCCTGATTTGCTCGACTTGGGTGAACCAGTTGTCACTACAGCTCCTCCCCTTGTGGATCCATTCAAGCAATTGGAAGGTCTTCTTGACCCGGGCATTAATTCTGCAACAAATCATAATGTAGGTGTAGCTACAAATGCGCCTGATATTATGGAACTCTATGCGCATACTACTACAAGTGGGCAGAGTGACAGTGGTGGTGTTTATTCTATCCCTGTGAGTGGAGATAATGTAAATCTTTTATCTGAGTTGTCAAATGCAGCTGTAAGAGGTACTAGTGAAGAAATAATTGTGACGACTTTGTCTCAACCTACGAAGGGTCCAAATGCTAAAGATTCTTTGGAGAAGGATGCATTAGTGAGGCAAATGGGCGTGAACCACTCAAATCAGAATCCCAACTTGTTCAGTGACTTGCTTGGTTAATCCGGTTACTAAGCCAACTCTAGATCATGATGTTTGAGGATAGATTGCCTACCACTTACTGCTTGTCTAGTTGCCTGAAACAGTCTGTGATCGCATATATGCACTTGAATAAGTCATTATCAGGCATGGATGATTGCATCCCCCTAGAATGGGTTGATTAAACGTCCAGGAATGATGGCTGAACCAGGTAAAGGTTGTACTCGTTGCAGAATAGCTTTTGTAACTATTGAATGCGCGAGGCTTTCTTTGCCACATCCAGGATTTGGTCCACTCTAGACTTTAAGAAAGGGTACCGTTATGCACGGTCATACCGTTGCCATTTAAGCTTAATAGGAAGTTCTGGGTCATCTTTGTTGTACCAAAGCTGTATTTTGTTTTTTTAACATTTATGTGCATTTTTCTGTGTCCATAAGATGGTTTTTCAACAGCGAGAAGCTTGATATTGTGGTTAATAATATCAGTTTGATGTGAATGACATTTGTACTGGTGATTATTTTAGAGATGGTAATGGGGGATTAGGTTCATCTATTCCTTTATAGAATTACGGATATGCTCACGATTGGCCCAGTTGTGTTTCCTTTGTTGCGTTCGCTCTCTCGTCATGTTTTTTATTTTTGTTTATGTTATCCATGCTGACATTATTAAATTGATTGTAGTTCAATTTCTGTAGAACTTTGTCACATTATCACGGCCTCTTCAAAATGTAATATTAACAGTTTTATGAGATCCCATAAACAAGTTTTACGTGAATCGAAATTAAAAATTTATTAGTCACCAGGAAAAAAAAAAAAAAACTTTATTTACACGAGCGTGCCTTATGTAAGCACTGAATTTTCTATTTGTAAGATTAGGAATTCAGGCTCTTTGAAGCGACGGGTCAATCTGGCTTAAGAAGGCTTGGTTTTGAGACACCATTAAATTCATTGATTTAAAAGTAGCACCGTATGCATGATTATACAATGGCGAGTTTTCGGCTGTCTGTAGTTAGGACTTTTCAAAACTTGGTCGAAGTTGAGAGATTTAGTTGGTCAGTAGTCAATTGTATTTTAGTCGTATGTGCTTGTCTTCCGGTGAGCGGGTTTGGATTTTGTACTTCTATGTTTGGTGCCCTGTTATATTACATGATGGGAAATTTTTAGCACTCTCCAGTTTTTTCTATTTACATCCCTTTTTCTTGTGCACAATAAAGAAGGCCCTCTTTTATTGCTTTCGAAATTTAATTTTAAAAGATTTTAATACATTCTGGAATTAGTTTATATATATATATATAAAACTGAGGTTCTAAAAGAAATTCCTTCACTTGGTTTATTGTGGTTCGGACCAGTGTTTGCTTCCTGCCCCTTAGTCTCTTCAGGAACTATAATCCAAAAACACACAAAAAATTGTTATAAGGGTAGATGTCATAGATTTGCAACTTACATATATTCAGTATTTGGAACAACTTTATAATTATGAAATCCAAATGAATTTTATCATTTAGCATTTTTTTTTCATCAGAGCATTCAATTGATGTTATGTACTAACACTTTGGCACTGCATTTGCTTCCGTCCATATATCAACTCTTCTCCCAAGTCTTCTATACTGGAATATATCGATGCTAAATAAATTAGGAACTAGTTCACTGAAAATTTAAATAACACAGCTAAGAGATGTAGGTTTGGATATTGCTGTACTTTTTAAAGAAGGCAAACAAATCTTGTCCAATGCATCAGATCGATGCTATTCAGAAGTTGAAATTATCTTAACTTTCAACTTGAATAGAAGTTCAGATGCATGGATTTAGATTACGGGGCGGCAAAAAGTAGTGATGGAAACCATAATGTATAACCCGTCTAGCACATCATATTTAGTAAATTACGAAGGTTAATCCTCCAGTGGATATTTCTATGCTTTTCATGTTGTTACAAAGTTCAAATACTTTCTGTGGTTTAAAATGCAGAGAAAAGCAAAGGATCTTGTCATGCTAAGTTGTTGCTTGAGTATTGTATTTGTATACCTCCACTTATGTGGCACTGACAATTGGTCCCTAGCTAGCTATTGTAAATGTCCCAGAATATGATATGATGGATTCCTAATTATATTTGAAATACCAAAAACATTATGTACTTCATTACTTTTGCTTATATATCCACCACCAGAAAAAAATATATATATGTTATCTGACTTTACCAGTCAGTGCCACTTGCTGATGGAAACAGAAATGGCAATTGCATGATGTAATTGTTGTGATATCTTTGTTCATGTTGCCAAATAAATTCTAACCATTAGTGTTTAACACAATACTTCACAACATTGCTATATAACTAGATATTTGTACTCAACATGTATATATCATTCAACCTAAGATTATGACTTTTCTTTATCCAAGGTTTTCAGAGAAAAGTAACTAGAAAAATAGCTCCATGGTGAAAGGAACCTAACACAAGAAAAGTGCATTATAAAATAACAAATAGTTGAAGTGGTAACCTATTTACTATACGTGTCTATTGTTTCTTCCACCACTTTTGCTTCTCGTGCGCCAAATGCATGCTAGTGCTATATATTCCGAAAACCACTGTTGCGGCTATACCACGTCATTTTAGCATTATTGCTTCACCACAGAGTACGAACTCGACTACTCATTAGCTTAGGACCATCTTTGCAACGTTTTCAGGCTATGCATTTTTTTCCTTTTCCCTTTATTTCTTCTACCGCTCCTCGTTGTTGTAATCCAGAGGAGCAAATAGCTTTTAAGAAGACGACGACAAAACAACAAAAACAAAATGAGAAATACATTTCTCTATCAGATTTCGTCTTTTTGTATAAGTTTTATACAAGATACAAAATATCTAATTCACTCGCAGCAGTTCATGACTACCACAAATTATGAATCACCATTGCTTTACGTACAAAAACTTGGATTACAAAACACAATCTCAACTGAACTGTCACATACACGATTACTTAGGGTTTAATATTACTTTCTAAATACTAAGGTGTTGTAATAATAATAATAATAATAATAATAATAATAATAATAATAATAATAATAATAATAATATATCATTTTAACAATAAATATTAAAAATTAACTCCAAAAAATGTTCATTCAAATTTTATATAAAATATTCTATCTCTATTTCTAATTAATTTGAGTTATTTTAATAAATTTTTATATTTAAGATTAGACATATGATACTGATGAGGTGACTCAACAAGAATGAGCACTTGTTGACAGTCTAATATGCAAATAGAATAGACTTAAAAGCTAACTGAGAAGAAAGGCTTTTATAAGAAATATTTTACATCTAGTTGTAACTGAATATCTTGACAATATACATAATATTTATAAGTTAATAAATAAAAAATTATACTTAAAAATAATTCTAGTCATAACATAATATTCAAAAAAGAGTAATGTTCTATTTTTCTATTGCATTATTTATTTTATTTTATATTTTTTTTACGGCCTATCTCATTAGTTATTGTAAAATATGTTTTAAATTTTGAATATAAAAGCACTTATATGTTTAAAATTATGTCATCTAACCTTTAAAACACCTCAACACAGTGTCACATGAGCTAATTTTCTTAGCTCCAAACCGATGTGACTGATTAGTGTTTTGAGTAAAATAAACTAAACACATATCCCATTCGATGATTTTTCAATTCACTTTCTTCGCTGCAGCAAGGCAACCACGAGGCTAGCCATCTTGATTCATGAGTACGTCAGCCAACACAAATGTTGCGTATTAAACGATGCGATTCATCATGCATTGTTTTTTTTTTTTTTTAATATATTCAAATGTATCATAAGTGATTAAATTATAAACCATTTGTGATAGTTTATTGTTAACAAAAAAATATAGATAAAATTAATCTAGAGATACCTGCAAATTTAACGAATAAGATATATTTAAAAGTTACGTTTTAGAAAAAAAAAATGATGATTTTTTATAAATATTTTTAATTTCTCAAAATAAAATAATGAATGAGTATATATTTAGAATGTGTTTGATAAAGTCAATGGATAAGTTAAGTGAAAGCTTAAAAATTAGTAAAAATTGATAAAGTCAATGGATAAGTTAAGTGAAAGCTTAAAAATTAGTTAAAAATTAAAGTTAGAAATTAAAAACTTGATAAATAATTAAATTAAATTAAAATTTTGAAAAATTAACTGTTAAATTAGTTGATAAGTGAAAAGAGACAAAATGATATATTTAATTACATGAACTTAACTTAAAATTTAGTAATTATATATATTCTAATTATTATCACTTTTCAAATCTTAATTTATTTCAAATAATTTGTCATTTAAAAAATAAGGATAATAATTTTATTTTTATTCTTATTTTTAAATATTTTTTAAAATAAGATAATATAAAAATGTGTGTATATATATATATTATAATTTTAAGGAATTTATATTATAAAAAAATTAAAAGAACGTGACAGAAAATGCATTTCCGAGAGTTTATGAAATTTAAAAGAACAAGGAAAAAATTAAAATAAGACAGTAGGAATATAAAATAAAACTAAGAGTAAGCTTAAATGCTACATGAAATAAAGTTAGCATTTCGAAAAGCACAATAAAATGGCACTAGCTACTGAAATAAGTTTTATTTTTTTTTACTAAATAAGTCTATTTTAATTAAATAAACTTTTAAGCTAGTCAAGTAAGCTAAATTTAAAATGTATCTTTTTTATTTGTATTGCCAAACTGACTTTTAATACACTAACTTTTTATTTATTTTATATAAATATTATATATCATTTTAAATTTAAAAAAAATATTTATCCACTTCTCTCTTTATTTCTGGAACTCAAACTCCCAATCATACCTAAAGACTCTTCAACCTTATATTTGGACATAATTACTACTAAGAAAGGAATTTAAGAACTATTTGATGAACATGATAAAAGGACATGATATGTTATTATCTTATTTTTAATATTTATTGATAACATGATATAATAGCTTTATCGTATTGAATTATCTTATCTTATCATTATAATTCAAATTATTTTTTTATAATTTTATAACACCTATGTTTATATTGGGCAGAGAAAGTTGGAAACGAAATCTTAATTATGAAAGGTCCTTCAACCTTAACTTATAATCAGATATTCAAAATCATTGAATTTTCAAATCACTTACTAACAAGCCCTTGGCAAGTCGTTAGACTTTCACCATGTGGAGGATATGCATAGACTTTCAAGAAAGAAGTATGTTCTAGAGAAAAAGTGTTTCCATGTAAGAATAACACTTTTTTAACACTTTTTTAAACATATTTTTAACAATTAATTAGTTAAAATTTATTAAAATTAAAAAATATATAGATATTAATATTTTTTACTCTAATTTAATTTTTTTCATAATTTTATAATTTTTAATAAATTTTAGCTAATAATTAAAAATTAGTTAAATATTATATTACTAGCATTCTTGCTGCATGTAAACTTAGACATATATATAATTTATTTATTTATTATGTATTTTGTTAACCTCAACTCTTAGGACGAAAATAAACTGTTAATAATAGTAAAATTTTATTAAATAAAAAAATATTTATTGTATTTTTATAATTCTAATATAATAATTATGTACTTTTTTATAAAAAATTTCTATTTGTAGATGTTTAAACTCAATTCTTAGAATTGAGGTTAATAAAACTCTTTTTTTATTATTGCATTTCTCTGTTCTGTTGCTATTTCATTCTTTAAAGTTTCAACTACCATATTCCTTCAATATTGATGGATGTTTATGATTTTCTTATATTGGTCATGAAATCTATCCTTGGCCAAAAAAGAGAAGTCAATTTGATGTTAATGTACACTTGACCATTTTACTCACTAAAATACTTTGTTTTATAGTTCCAGATTTAAATTCCAGTGCCTTTAGAACAATTGAACCTAAGTTAAAATATAACTAATGATGTAAAATAGTAAGTTAAATTCATCTCTCTCTTTCTTTTTTGGAAAATAAAAGTTCTAGCTTATAATTTGCATAAACTCTACAACTAAAATTAAAGATACATAATTGTAAGAAAAGTCTTGAACCACTATATTCTTGGATTTTTGGTTGCACATCTCTAATTGTTTGATATTCAATTTACGCCAAACTTGAAAGTTGAAACTTAATTTGTAGAATTGACGTCCTACACAATCTCACCTAATTAAATCATAAGGACTATGGTCTCTAACAGTTAGATAGATGGATTCATATAATCCACAAAATCAAAAGATAAGAAAATATTGATACATTGGCATATCCTAGCCTCTAACATTTACTCCTATCTTGAAACTATCGCCTAAAGACTAAAGAGCCATATACATGATGCTATATCCATCCCAGATATGGCTGAACTACGATCTGGACCAACTACTAAAGAATCATTTTTGTATAGCTGTCATAGATTTGAAATGTACCTTGGCATGTCTATCAACATCCTATTATTAAATTCACAACAAAATTGAAAAACACATGTTTGACACTTGTGCTCTTGTTATGAGAGATGAATAATTCTGAGTCAGCATTTTTGGCTAAGATCTTAGAACTCATGCCAAAGTCATAATGTGCAATCTCTTTTTCAGTTCTTAAAAAGATGTTGATTTCAATGGAAAGGACAAATGATTGGAACATGAAATTATGGGTAACTGTTTCTCCTCTTTGCCTTTTATCATTAATTGTAAGTTGGTTGCCTGTATTATCCATTAGCTTTGTGCTGAACAACGATTCATTTTAACAAAATGATAATAATGTTATTTTTGAAGGAAAAAAATGAAGATGAAAATAATTCATCTACTAGAAATGTTCGAGTGATAAAGGTCCTAACTTCTGCACATTGAATTATTTTGTTTTTGTATCTTTCTCTCTTTAAATAGTAAATTATCATGTTATAAGAAGAAAAACAACACAAATTCATAACACAATTGAATGAGATTAAAAGATCAATACAAAGAAAGAGACAGAAATAAAAAGAGCAATTGATAAACAGTAATTTTATTTTTTTGATAATGGATAAACAATAAAATTATTTAGACTTAATTAACTCCATTAAAATAAAGAAACATATAAAATATGGAATAATATATAATTGAGGTATTTTTTTTTATAAACTTTAACATACCTTAAATTACCCCTAAATATATATATATATTTTTTTACTTTATAAATATCTTCAGTTTAGAGGGTCAAATTCAAACAACAATATTACACACAGCATTCAGAAGGCAAATTGGACCAAAGGTGAGCCATTTGTCGGTGGTGGAAAATGCGGCAACATGACGGGGCTGATGTTTTATCATTTGATCTGTTGGGTTTTCTTGCAGTGTGTGGTTATTATGTTTTATTCTTCTTAAATATTTTATTTATGATGTTCTATTTTACTTTTTTCATTTTCTTCTTAAACATCAAAGATTTGTTCTTTGTCTTTTGTTCGAGAACCATCTTAAATGGAGTAGTAAAATTATCCCTCTCTTAAAGATTTGTTTACGAAAATAAAGGAAAAGAAAACTGAGAGAATTAGCAATATACTTCTACCACTACTATGCCAATCCAAGTAAAATGACACATTATTTTATAGATCCTTTGCTCATTGGATTGACTTAGTGTTTAGTAAAAGCAAAATACCAACATTTTTTAGGTATCTAAAAATGGAAGAATTTTATTGAAAAATAAAGATTTATTATATTAAAAATATAATTTTTAGATATTCAAAATCAACTGTTCATTAAAATACGGTGTAAGTTATGAGGAACAGAACTTAATATTGGGATTAAACCAGGAAAGAGACAGTTTCCTGCTCAACTTCAATGATTTTAGAATTGTTAAATTTCCTATATATATATATTAAGAAAAGAAAAAGTCATAGCTATTCATTTTCATCATCAAATTATATGCTTCAGACACCACGCGCAATTTCTTTTTCCACATCATCGAGAAACTTTCAAGAAGATTACCTCCTTTTTTGCAGATTTTTAACTTTGTTGACTTCATTTTTTTTCCTCTTCTTTCTTGGGGGAAAACACTACAAAATGTCGAAATCTATCATATTTTTTGCCTATAATATGCTTCCTTAAGTTTCCAACTGCATTCGTAGCGATTCTTTGTCTTGACTCTTGCTTTTTTTTTTTTCTGGTCACCAATCTGTTCTTATTTTTACTTTTCTTCTCCTTCCAATCATAACTATTAAATATTCAAATTTTTTATGTATTTTTTTTATGCATATACTATAACTTTCAATTCAGTTTAAATATGAGATTTTATTTTTTGCTTCTTTTAAAAACTTGTCCTTTTGACTAGTATTGATTTGATACGTGTGAAATTAAGATACTAAAACCAGTAACCCCTCCCAACAACAAATTCTTACTCATATCATAACAACACAAGTTGATGTTGCAACCTTTACTATGAAATAATATATTTTCTCATTTGAAACTTATCATTTAATTAAATGAAAAGTTATAGAGTTAGTGTACATATATTGTTAAACATCATTCGCTTTTAATACTGACCCAGTAGTTTGAGTCACTGATGAATAGACACATCAATTATTCTACTGATATACTCTTGTTTTTTGAGAGTCTATTTGTTAGCAAGTAATAATTTTAGTTTTATTAACATATTTCTCACGATCTAACTCATTAACATGCACCTAAAAGTATAATAACATATTAGTTTTAATTTCTTTTTACAATGCATGGCTATTCAAATTTTGTGGCTTAATTGAGTCATCATTGCTTTATAAAAATAGCTCAAGACAGATCATATTACACTGATTTTTATACATGATACTTAAAAAATCTTGATTCCTTGAGAGAAACTTTCGGATTCTGTTACTGATTGCCATTAAGTAGCATCAAGGTTATCTTACACGTATTTCAGATTAATTAATTATAAGAAGTTATCATAACATGAGCAAGTGTCTTCTTGCGGTGCCGTGGTTTGATTATACAGAAATTTGTGACACATTTTCAAACTATTCATTAACAGCTAAGCGGTGCAAGTTCAAGGCCCACAACACAACCTACCCATTTTTTTTCTCAACATCAAAGAGAAAAATATCAAACACCAATGAAACTAAATCAATAGATATTGTCACGAAAGTTATAGTTGGAAACAGCATAAGAATGAATTAACTTTCCCACTAAGTTTCACGTACAGATATTTGTTCAACAACAGCAGTGTGGAATAAGATAGCTATGACATGCTCATAAACAACTTTGGAAACTCTAACTGCATAGATTCTGAAGCCATAAAGGGGTGTTTGTCTTGTTACAAATATAGACAATTAGGAACTGCAACGTTTCATCTTTGGATACATATGAATGGTAGCACCGACGTACACGTTAAAATATCAGAATCAGAATTTGAGACAAGGCAGAAATATAAGACTACTATAGAGGATTGTTCTACAATATGCTCCAATTAATAGACCATTGAATAACACTTATAATTGTTTTTTTTTTTACATAAATATTCTGATTAAATATAAGGATATAGTGCCTAGAGGCTAGAAGTGTGTTCATGATTCAAGAGTAACAAAATATAGTTTGATAATTCTAATTGCTGCAATCAACCCGAGAAATATTAGTAGGTTTGACTTATATAAGGAGCAAAAAAGGAAATTAATTGATTGAAGAAAAACGACAGAGAGGAGAGTGGATCAACCTTACGTAGGCGAGTACCTGCTAGATAATGTTTATATGCTTGAAACGACATGTGTTCGGATCTTAGGGGACTCAGTTTGATTGAAATGCAATACATGGAATCCGTATTAGTCAAAATTTGAATAATTGAATGCATGCTAGCAAGATGGGAAGCACGTATTTTTTTCATTTTGTGGTGCCGTGATTCATTGGCATTCTTTTTTTTTTTTTTAATTTTCATTTTTCCCGTTATTTTTTTCCTGATTGTTATTTTTTTAGTAAAGATTATGAAGTTTATTTATACCTTTAATGTTAGATTATTTTCTATTCAGGCATCTCTATTCTCTACACAACCAACAATAGCCAGATATAGTTTGTGGTATTTTATACTCATCTCAGAACCAATATTTCACTTTATTATTGCCTTGCGGCGTTCTTATGAATACAAAACTAGTTGAATTCATCAATACAATCTTTTGAGGACTTTTTCCTCATATAAATAGAAAGAAAAGAAAGTGAAGAAATAAAAAGAACCTAATACTATTTGGTCTGGCTATGAAACCTCCTATATACACTTGACATCCCTTTTTGTATGCTATTGTCAAGACTACCCCTTTGGGTTTCTCTTGGCCAAAAATAAAGGAAGATTAATCTCCTTTGTTTGGTTATCCATTTGCAATATGGTCTTGGTCTTTAATAATTTTTCTGGAACCAATTTTGAGAGCTATGAAGCCATTCTTTCCATATTTAGAAAGCTACTATAAAACAAGGGTTGGACTTGGATTGGATCTGTCTTATGTTTGAGTGATATCTACTTCTTGGGATATAAGGTGATGGGCAAGCCGTTTTGGGGGAGAGCAAAAGGGCCATACTGAATTCCATTCTTTGCACCCACCACAGACCACCTGCACCAAAATAATAGAAACAACACTTAGAAACATTCTAAACCTCCCAATTTGGAACATGTCTCCATTCAAAGCAGACAGCTAAAAAAAGGTTGCAATGAGACTTTTACTAGTGATTAAGTTTACCAACCTGTACTTTGTGGTCAGATGATGTAGGAGGACCAAAATCTCCAACTTGGCTAATTCATTCCCAGGACACGCGTGGATCCCACTGCCAAATGGCATAAAAGTATTGGGTTTTGGAGCAGCCTGTCAAATAGTTAACAGAATCTGTCAAAGTCTGGACTTGGTATCACTCATTGCATTAATAAGACCAAAACTATGGTAGGTAAGTGCATAGTTTCTGCTCAACAATTACCTCAAATCTTGAGGGATCAAACTTTTCTGGTTCCTTGAAGTTGTCAGGACTGTGGTGTATGTTCCTAAATAGAGGTAGCACTTTCCACCCTTTTGGTATAAGATACCCTAAAGAAAAACAAATATCAACACAGAATCTGTGAGCCTAAATGAGAAAAGGAAAGGAGATCTTGGGTTAAAAATAAATAAGGGATTAAGGTATCATATAAGATTTGGTTATTGACCTTGATATTCAACATCCTCCACTGCCTCTCTGAAAGTAAAGGACAAAATTGATGCAACTCTTAGAGTCTCCTGAATAACCCTTGAAGTTATTGGCATCTTTTTGGCATCTTCCCAATTCAGACCCTTATCTTCACCATTTTCTTCCTTGCTCTTCAATATGCACTCTTGTTCCTCCTGTGATATTCCAAAATTAAAAAAAAAAAAAAAAAGTTTAATTAAGTCCAAGGGACCCTTAAATTGAAAAAATTGTTTGACAAAAATAAAGGGTAGGACCCAGACACTTACAGTAACAGCTTCTAGGACACTAGGGTTTTCACCAAGGTATTTGACAATCCACGTAAGCACACTGGCAGTGGTATCACGAGCCGCAAATATGACTCCAATCACATTATCCGCTATTTGCTCATCCGTGAGCCCTGCTTTCTCACCCATGAATGAACCCAACAAGTCCTTGTAATCTTGCTTCCTCTGCCTCCTGCTTGCGATTATTTGAGCCAAGATCTGTGCAAGCTCCTTCCTTGCCTTCATAGCCTTGTGGAACAGTGTCCCAGGAAGGTTAATGGGCATTGAGTTGTACCCTTGCTCAAGGGTGTAGTAGCATCGTTTCAGAGCCTCTCTGTACAGAATTTCTTCTTTTCCAAAAATCGAAAGCAGAGCAACATTGAAAGTGAACTGCAGTAGACCAAAACAAAAAACTCCATTATTTATTTTGAAAATCAACGAGGGATTAAAAATGGGTAATTAATATTTTTTTAATTATTGGTATAATTTTCCTTTTTGGGAAATGAACAGAGGAAAAACAGAGAAACTCTGTTTTGCTCTGTTTGTGTTATCTGCTTTGGGAGTAGTTGAGTTGAAGTTGATGGCTCACCGTCTTCATTTCAAGAAAAGTGGTGATCAAACGGCCTTCCCATGATTTGAGGCAATCTTGGGCAATGGTTTCAATGTTAGGGACGATGTTTTTAATGGCTTCAGGCATGAAGGTACGAAGAACAAGCCTCCTCAAGTTAGCATGGTACTCCCCTTGGTGAAAGAAGATAGCTTGTTTTCCCAACATCCTTTCTTTGCTTGCAGGAAATGTTGGCTTGAAGAGTTGAGCTTTGTTGAGCACAAACTTTGCAGCCTCAGGGCTAGAAATCATCACACAGGGGCAACCTAGAATGTGGGACTTGAACATAGAGCCATACCTAAATAAGAGAAAAAAAATTGATGTATGTAAGAGAAATTTGTCCCATGAAGTGGTTGAAAATGGAAAGTGAAAGAATTGGCATGAATTTGAACCTTTTAATTTTTGTGGCAAAGAAGACATTTGGGTCTTGAGAATACATTTGAAAGGTTTCTCCTATGTAGGGCCAACCCATGGAACCAGGGGGGAGTGGTAAGTCACGGCGTTTGGAGACATAGGGCTTGATGAGTTTCTTGAACAGAACAATGAAGAGAAAAGAAGCAAACAAGCATAACATGGTGCTTAGTTCCATGTTTGTGTTAGTGTGTGTAGCTTCGTGATAATTATGATGAAGAAAAAATAAGAAGAGGGTGTGTGACCAAAGATGTTGAACATTTGATGTATTTATAGGCTCTTTTGAGTTAGAGTGAAAGCATATGAAGCAGGAAGAGGGTGGGAAGGAGGGAAAAAGAAGGGAGGCTTTCAATTACAGCTCGATTTCCACACACGGAATCTCCCTCCAGCTCATTCAATTTTTTGTTCTAAATCTAATTTAATTCCCAGAGAGAGAGAGAGAGAGAGAAAGCACGTGTCACAAGAGTGTATACAAATACATGTAAGAGTTAGAGTTTGGTTGACCGTACATGTATGATGATGGGTTGGTGTTTGTGTAGTGAGACTGCACAAAAGAAAAAGGGTACTAATTCGATTAATTAATTAATTAATCATAGAGAGAACAGATATTAACACCCTAGCGACCCTTTGGTATGACAAAAGCCAAAAGTGGACAGAAGAAGAGAAGCAGAGAACCTTTTTTGTGTTACTCCCATTTCCGTACTATGTGGATTCTGTTAATTTCTTTAGTTTTTATTGCAATTATGTACTAGTGCTTGTTCTTGGTCCTTGTCATCTTTCTTTTTTCATCACTCTACTTTCTGCCTAACCACTCTTGCTACAACAAAGTAGAAGTGGCAACTCATTTTCGGACACAAACATCAAAACCCATTTCTGTATTAAAATTAATCCGAGGTTTGGGTCAATATGGACTGTTGGTGACAAGGTTAGATCAAAGTGATAAAATTTTATGGGTATTGGAAATGTATTGTTTGGACATTTCAGCAATGTATGGAGTAGTAGGTTTGATGGTGTAAGTTGAGCCTTTACATTAATGAGGCTGCCACCCACCTTAAACTAATTCATCCATGGATTCAAAATGTAAGCTGATTTTGGTCTTCAACTCTAATGGTCCCCATATCATAAATTTCTCTTTTTTTCTTCACTAACTTTTTATTTATTTATTTATTATGTTTCTGTAATTGTTGAAGCTCGTTTGAAGAATACACAATGCATGGATTCTCACCTTTAGTTGATTATGCTTTTGAAGAATGGGAGTAATAAATATTACTACTTTGAAGTGTATTTTCATCCTATAATATGAATCAATTGTTTTAAAAGTTCAAATTATCATGTAAAATAAGCATACCATAGATTTAGTTAGATTCCTATATTGAATAAATGTTATGGTGGTATTCTAGGATAGTAAATGTTCTGATTTTTCCTCAGTGGTTCTATCACTCTCTTAATTTCAGGGAAAGTCAATGCATGATAATGCAAGATACTAACGTCTCCTTGCATGCAAGGAAAACCTTGGATGAGAATTTTGGTTCTATTTGTTGTTCTTCTAATTAAATAGTAATAATTTACAAAAAAATTAAGCATTAAAAAATTATTGTCAAGATATTTTTTTCCACTAAATTATCATTGTTCAATTTTTAAAAAAAAGACCGAAAAAGAGTATAACAAATTTCTATCTATAAAAAGATCCTATTAATAAAAAAAATTGAGGAAAAATAAGTAATTAGACACGCAAAACTAAAATATTTCATAAAACTTATAAATTTTGACGACAATAAACTAATTCTGACAAGCATATATGAAATTTTTTAGCTAAATACCATAAAATTAAGGACAATTATTCCCTTCAATAATAAAATAATACATAGCTAAGTAATTTTGCTGTGCACTGCACTGATATTATTTAATTAAATTAAAATTTTAGATAAATAATTAAAAATATATTATATAACTATTTTTAAATTTAATAAATTTTTAAAATATAAAATATTATAATTATTAATAATATTAAATTAAAAAATAAATACTTAATATAGAAAAATTAATTAACATTATTAAAAGAATTAATCCTTAAAAATATTTTTATTTGAAGTAATGAACTATACAATTTATTAGAGAAAAAGAAATTTTTGTACAAAACTAAAGATGAGTGGTTGCTGATAATTTTAATTGAAATTACTATCAATTAGATTAGGTATTATAAATATAAACATAGATATTGATTAAATTATATATATATATATATATATATATATGAATAAATTATTGTAAAAAATGTGTGATTTATATATAATTTTAACATTAAAATATACATGTGTTTAACTGTAAAAAAAGTAATTTTATCAAATATTTCACTTTCTAAATAGTTTATTTCCATTTAAAATATAGAAGTTAATAAACTAATCCGTTTTACAAATTTATGTACAACAAAAATAAAGAAATTTAAAGTTAATTTTTTATGTAACTGCAAAAAAATTTGACATTAATTTAAGATAACGAGCTGCAAAGATAAAAAAAATTTAACTTCACTTTTATATAATTTGTCCGGATTGTGAAACTCTCTTTTAAAATGGGAAGGTGTGAGTTATTTATTTGATTCTACAACAAGATCTACAGTTTTATGTTACTTATGTAGTTATAATCTATTAAATGAATGAGATATAGTATTTATTTGACTTTTAAATTTCAAAATTTAATGATAATTCAAAGTTACTACTAAATAATCATTGTACAATCTATGTTAATATTATTATAATAGTCACACAAAACTGCACTAATTTAGTTTAGTGTTGCCAATTTTAATATTAATCTTTTAACTGTTAAAAATTTTAAAAGTGAATAAAATTATTATTAAGTAAGAAATTTTACTGTGATCAAATTTTTAGTTGTGTCATGGTTAACTTAAGCCAACTTATATATATTTCATTAAAGAATTTTGACTTATTTGTTACAAAAAGTCATATTATATACTAAAATATGGACACAAAGTGATAGGAAGCAAAGGAGTGATAGTTACAAAACGACAATTGATTTCTTAAAAATATTGATTACAGACTGTAATTGAACTTTGTACCTATGTCAATCCCTCCTTTTTTAGAATAAATTAAACTAAAATGATATTATATACTATTTTGCTGTGAGTAATTGTAAAAATTTAAAGTATAAAATAATACTTTTTAGCTTTTGATATATTAAAATATAAATGATATTTTGTGCTTAAAATATTTTATTTGCTAAATATTATTAGGAGTTTTTGACACTTATCAGCAAAATGGTGCTTTGTAATAATCTTTTCAAGCAGTTATAGCAAATCTCCTCGTAGATTTTGAAAACCTATGCATTGCATATGGCTTTTTGACGCGTTTGCCTGCGGCACATGACACATGCATGTGATGGAATTGATCAACCACTACGTGTCAATGTCAAATGTGTAGAATCACATAACCAAGAGTAACTGGAAATTCCAAAATTGAAAGCATATTGTGTTTGATCATAAGCACGATAATATCAACAATCAAATAAATAATTAACTTGATATGTCAACTGCTAACTTATTCAAGAACTTTTGAGTACTTTAAGCAAAGCAATTTGAATTTGAATTTGAATTCAGTGCGCATGAACTGGAGAAATTTTTTAATTCTGAACGTTGATATAACTTGAACGTCACATGATGCTATATATTAACAAACAAAAGCATGGAAAAGAACTTCTTTGATCCTTCTTATCATTGATCCTTTGACTTTTAATAAGTTAGTATTATTGGAGAATCTTTTCTACGTACATCAATTATATCTATATTAATTTGTTGATCACAGGTGAAGTCTTAATTAGGATTTACTGTCACTGTAAATATAATTAACAAAATTAATTGAAATGAATCTGAGTTAAAACTCACCTTTTTTTTCTGTTGGAATTTACGTGTAAAATTTCAAATTAAGAGTAATGTTAATTTGATAATTTATCTAATTCATTAAATTAATTTAGAAGTCTTCTCTCATTTATTATTATTAGTTTTTTTTTTTTTTCCTTCATTCTCTCCCCTCAGAGAGCACTGCAAGTGAGGGCTGCTCTGATGTCTTTCTGACATGACTCGTTAAATGCAAATTCAAATTATGACAATGTAAGTGACGGAAGTGGAAAAAGAGCAGAGATAAGGATGACAGCAGTGAACAGCTTCTTCACTTTTTTTGAGTTGTATTTGTGCAGAGTGCGATGCATATACAAATGAACAAATCCTCATATTAAGAATATGAGCAGAGAAAGACGATTTTCTGTAAACACAATGCATCTGATCTTTGCATTAAAGTATGTGGCAACAATCAACACCCCAAAAAGTCATTTAGGAGCAGCCATTCGATCACATGCATATGGATTCACTACAAAAAGATGAAAAAACAATATATATATTTATTTATTTATCATTATAATTACAAGCCATAATTTTTATAATAATATTTTTTAGTAGTTTTTCAAATATAATATAATAATCTTGCTCTGGTCTTATCCTTCACGAAAACATGCATACAGATCAGAAAAAACCGAAGGTGACATAGGAAGATCGAATAAGTCGCAGCCATAAATATCTCAAGCAGTGGTCAGATACGTATAAATTAAGAGAAAAAGAAAATATTAATCGATTATTTTCAACCGATCAGAAAGAAAAATTATACAATAATGTGAAAGATATATTGCCAGTGTTTTATGCACTTGATACAGGAATTCTTCGGTATGCAGGCACGTACGCGATTGAAAATGTTATTTTATATTTTGTAAGACTAATTTAGCTTATGTTTATATAATAAGATTTTTTAAAAAATATAAGAAATTGTTTCCTTGAAAATAATTTCATCCAAAACAAACACTTATCTTATATAACACACATGTATGACTGTTGTTTATTTTGATTTTTAATTGAGATGAATAAAGTATTTATACTGGTCACATATTGTAACATTATAACATTCATTGAATATTTAAAATATATTTTATATAACTAAAACAAAGGACCATATGGCCAAGTCATAACAGTCGTTGTAGTTGAAAAATATATGTATTTTAATTATAATAATTTTACAAAAATATTTAAATTAATTAACATCCTTAAAAGAAAAAAAGAAAGTGAGTTTTTCTGATAATACAAAAATAGTATATTTCATTAAAAAATTAATAATAGTGAGCATGATTCTCGAGTTAAGAGAGACCCATTGAATTATTCATCTTAATAATTTAAAACTCA